TACACGATTACGATTGTATTTTTTTCTGGTATAAATAAATATTAAATACTAAATATTAAAACTTATAATTGCTTAAAAATGTGTGATTCTTATTATGTCAACAGCGTGTGAATTCCTTTTGGAAAATACCAATGAATTACTCGTCCACAAGGGAATTTAATTAGTATTAAATCAAGCGAGCCGATTAAACAGCGAGGCGAAGAAATTCGAAAACCGAGCATAGTAAATTTAATTCAACGAGCGAAACGTTGGTCGGTCGCCGGAGAGACAAGAAATTAAACGGTGTGGCGTACAGAACTATTTAATCGGATCCTGAGATGTTTCCGACTGATTAATACGATCCGATACTACTGCCAGCGGCGACCTATGATTCCTACGGGCTGATTCGTTATAATTCGCTTTCGCTGACCCGGCCCCGCGTTTCCCGAGCCGTGATTTGCACGGGCCATTACCGATCGCGCGGATTACTCGCCGAGATTAAAGAGCGATCGGCGCCGGGATCGATCGTTTCTTCTGAAACGATGCTTCTATTACTACTATACGCGCTTCACTCTCCAAAATTGAGTATTCCATCGCCGTCGTCACAATTTTTTATCTCCCGTGCACTTGACGGGTTCGGTGGATCGTTTCAAATGCGGATCTCATCTAAACGTGCGAAATCGTTAGACGCTGAAATCGAGCGGACGTATTCTGAATTAAAACGTATGCTCGTCCAACTGGATTTTTCCAGGGAACAAAACGAACGGAGAATGAATGTTTCGTTACTTACGCTCTCGAATTTGTCCTTGTTCTTGGCGTGCTGAGCGATGAACCTCGCGTCGTCGACGGTCTTCTCGATCTCGCGGACCAACGGCTTCTCGAATGTGGGGCTGACGTCCTCGTGAGCGTAAGCCGGGCTGGCCGGGCCGAAGAGGTCGTCGTCAGCCCCCGGCAGTGGCAGCGAGGGTAGAGGCTCCTCGAAGCAGGGCGCTACGGTGCCCACGGTGGCCACGGCGGCGCCCAGGTCGTACCTGGTCGCCGAGGGTGGCAGACCGTACGCGGGTATCTCGTACTCCCCGCTGAACCTCTTGCCGTAGTACGCGTCGTACTTATCAGTCTCTTGTACATGGAACACATCGGTGAGCATGCCCTCGGGCGGTTTACCGTTGGCCGCCTCGACGTCGTCGTCGTCCTCGTCCTCGTCGACGGTATCGCCGTCGGCGTTCACCCCGGCGACGCCGACCCCGTTCCTACCGTCGGCCTCCTCCTCATCGTCGTCGCCGTCGTCCTCTTTCTTCGGCCTCTCCATACAGAGGAACCGTGGCAACACTTGTATGAACACGACCCGCACCCAGTTCGCCATACGGTGGGTCACGGGCGAGCGAAAGTTCACGTTGAGCACGGCTATGGTCACGACCACGGACAGCGTGACCAGTACCATCGTGAACAGCAGATACTTGCCGAGCAACGGCACCGTCAACGACGTGGGCGGTATGATCTCGGCAAGGAGTAGGAAGAACACCGTCAACGAGAGAAGTATCGAGATCGACAGCGAGACCTTCTCGCCGCTGTCGCTCGGCAGGTAGAACACCAGCACCGACAGTATGGATATGCCCACGCACGGTATGATCAGGTTCACCGTGTAGAACAGGGTCTTACGGCGCAGGGTGATATTGAACACGATGTCTGGGTAGGGCTCCTCGCAGCATATGTAGTACGCCTCGTTCCTCACGGCAGGCACTTTTATGATGTCCCACTCGACGGAGATGTAGTAGTCGGTCAGATCGATCCCGACCTCGATGCGGTTCGAGTCCTCGGTCTGGGCCAGGTGTCGCAAGTCCACCTGTAAACAACCGTACACAAATATTTAATTATTTATTGTTGCAAAAGGTTGTTAAATATGATGGACTTATTAATTTGGAGTAGAACTGTTTTATTGAATATCACACAAGAGTTAAAATATGAATAATATATGCAACGTGACTTCAAACAGTGGACACAAGACCATGCGTGTGCTAAGTGTACATGAAAGGTAAAACATGAGTCCTATGACGTCAGTAGCATCGATGGTCGTTGCTTTCTCCAACAT